ATATGTGTTGCAAAAAAAAAGTGACCACGGTGGCACAGAGAAGAAGTTTAACTTTTCCTCGAGTTGTGTGAATAAAAGCACAACCAATTTGACAGCTAACGAGCTTTGATTGAGATTATATTTATATGTAAACGTACTTTTATGCTTTGCCGTTCGCATATGTATACACATCAAATTGCATGAGTACCTATTAAACTGAAAGTTATTTTCGAGATAACTAACAACACTCGACAAAAATTTAAGCCTTCGTTTTAAATAATTTATGCTCCATCATATTATCGCAACTGGTACGTAACGACCCGGCGATATGCCCACAAAACGATTGATATTTTTGTTGTATTTATTTCTTGGGCATATCAAACATTATCTAAAACATGTCAACTATAACTAAATTGTTTTCTTCTTATTTTTTTACAGTACTTTTTAAGGAAGTTCCAACGTTATGTAAAAACCTTAAGAAAATACTCAAGTATTTGGTTTGAATAGAAAATTCAGTACAAATCAGTACAAATTTTGAAAAATCAGGACATTAGCGTACAGATTGAAGAAATGAATAAAATCAGTACAATAGTTGAAAAATCAGTACTGTACTGATAAAATCAGTACGTCTGGCAACCGTATATGTCTGCATACCAAATTTCAAGTTCGTGAGACTTATGGTTCCGAAGTTATAGCTGATAAAAAATTCCACACCTATGGGATGTGCCACACCCCCTTTTACAAACTCGTTTATACATTCCCTCCTATAAGAACCTACCATTGATATGTCTGCATACCAAATTCCAAGTTCGTGGGACATATGGTTCCTAAGTTATACCTGATAAAAAATTCCACGCCTATGGGATGAGCCACGCCCCTTTTTACAAACTCGTTTATAGATACCCTCATATAAGTACCTACCATTGATATGTCTGCATACCAAATTTCAAGTTCGTGGGACTTATGGTTCCGAAGTTATGGCTGATAAAAAATTCCACGCCAGTGGGATGTGCCATGGCCCTTTTTACAAACTCGTTTATATATACCCTCGTATAAGCACCTACCATTGGAATGCCTGCATACCAAATTTCAAGTTCGTGTGACTTTGGTCCCGAAGCTATAGCTGATAAAAAATTCCACGCCTATGGGACTTGCCACGCCCCCTTTTGCAAACTCGTTTATATATATCCTCCAATTAGCACCTACCATTGATATGTCTGCATACCAAATTTCAAGTTCGTGTGACTTATGGTTCCGAAGTTTCATTTATTTATTTCATTTATGTATATGTTTATTTTATGCAAGTGAGACGAGTGTCTCTTACAGCACATCGACTTATGGTAAACTATGGTGTTAAAAAAAAAAAGAAAATAATAATAATAATAATAATAAATTATATATAATATTATTTTAAAATTAGAATTAGAAACAGAGAGAAGGTAGAAGAAGATATCTATATGGAAGGGAATGAGGAGGGAGAGGTTTTCCAGAGGCAAGTCAAGAGAAGTAAGTTTGTATTGTATTCTTGAAGCATCTAGCATCTTTTATCGTTCTTATAGCGGGTGGAAGAGAGTTCCATAATTGTGCACCATGAACGAAGAACATGCGAGAAGTAGCAATGTATGTAGTCTTAGGTATTATAATATTTAGCACACGCTCGCTTTGCCCAAATTTAAGGTTTTTAAATAAGTATTCTGGTTTTGCAGTATAAACCAACTTGTGTAAAAAACAAGATTTCTTATCTTAAGAAAGTTATCCAGGGTGTTGTCAAGTATTTGCTTAGAATGAGCTGAAATATGGTAATATTTTCGTTTTGAGAAAATAAAACGAGCTGTAGTATTTAAAGCTTTTTGTATTTTTAGTTTTGATGCATTGTCAAGCTTAGAGTATACAACTTCACTGTATATGATTTGAGGAACTATTAGTGTCTTAGCTAGTCGGAGTTTTACATCATTTGGTAATAAATATGCAGTGCGATATAATTTCCTTAATACGTTATATATTTTACAAATCGAGTAGTTTATATGATCAACACAGCTCATCCTTGAATTCACTTTGAAACCAAGGTTAGTCACAACCTGCTCTATCTGTACTTCCACACCATCAATTTTAACAGGGGATAAACAACTTAGGTTGTATTCATTGTTAGATAGGGAAATTGCGTTTGTTTTGCCAGAGTTCAGTTTCAAGTTATTTGCTTGTGCCCAACTAGATATACGAGAGAGATCTTCATTTATCCTACAGACTAGGTCTTCTGACAATCCAATGGGACGCGATAAGTATATTTGGGTATCATCTGCATATAAATGAATTGATACATTTCGGCAGCAATTCACGATGTCGTTTATAAATATAGAAAAAAGTAATGGACCCAGTATTGACCCCTGAGTTACCCCGGAAGTAACGCGTCTTAAACTAGAAACCTTTTCCCCACACTGGACTTGTTGCTGACGATCAGACAGATAACTCTTCATGAGTTTTACTGCAAAAGTGTTGGAACCAAACATCTTTTCAAACTTTAACAGCAATAGTTCATGGTCAACTGTATCAAACGCCTTGCTAAAATCCAGTAGCACCATTAAGGTTAAGTGGTTTTGGTCATATGCCGGACGAATATCTTCAAATATTTTTAACATGGCTGTGGCGCAACTGTGACATGCTCTGAAACCAGATTGGTTTTCAGTTAATAATTTGTTTTCATTTAAGAAGGTGACTTATTGACTCTCCATATACTTTTCAAACACCTTAGAGTATACAGGAAGGATGCTTATTGGTCGATAATGCTGTGGCGATTCAGGGTAACTTACTTTCGGCACTGGTATGATGTTTGAAATTTTCCAGCCGCTAGGAAACTGACAGGAGGTAATTTAATTGAGAAGTTAATGATATGTGTGAGGGGAGATATAACAAACGGTAAAATTAGTTTTAAAAACCTCAAGTTCACGCCATCGGAGCCCACCGCATTGGACCTAATCGCATATATAGCTTTAATCACATCATCTTCAGTCGCCACATTAAAATTAAACACACACTGTGGGACTTCAAAGGCATTGCCAATATCCAAGCACGCGCTAGAATTATGAGGATTTAAGAAGAAAGAACTCATAACTTCTACATCAAGATTACATAATGTTTTTTCCTTATTTCCTACACCAATTGATTTAAGATTTTTCCAAAGAATATCTGTTGGCAAGTCTGCGTTTAGTTTTGTTTTCAAATACGCCTGATTAGCATTTTTAACCCATAAACTGGCTTGGTTTGATTTCTTTTCCATTCAGAGTATGCCTTGTTGCGAATTCTAATAACATGAAGGACTTCTGCTGTAAACCAGGGTTTCGTAGCTGGCAGGGTCTTGACTTTACGTAAAGGAACATATCTGTCAAACAAAAAAGTTACGAGGTTGTTGAAGTAATATAATTTGTCATCTACATTAGAGAAAAACCTGCAAGTGTTCCAATCTAATAGAGCTGCTTCGTTATTGAGTGCTTGTACATTAACATGTTTGAAGTCTCTATACAAAACTTTGGAAGGTTATCGCTTCTACTGAAATCGATTCCATATGACAGAAACAACATATCATGGTCTGAGACGCCTGCCACAGAAAGTTGCTCAACATGATTAACATATCACAATCACTAACACAGAACATATCCAATAAACTGGGCTTGCAGTTTGGAGAAAATCGAGTGGCTTGCTTATTAACTACATTAAGCCCGTTCGATTGAAAGTTATCTACTAGTGTTGTTGAGTTGTGATCATTACATAAAAGGTCAACATTGAAATCACCGCAGCATATAATATGATCATATTTTAATACCACTTCAGAAATTTTCTCATGTACACACGTTAGGTGTACAACGAGACATTTAGTTTTACTATCAACGATCTCAACAAAGAGACATTCAACTGCACTTGAAGAGTCGGACTTAAATATTATTTCTGCTTTAAGTGACTTCCGGCAATAAATGGCAACACCCCCACCTCTTCCCGTAGTTCTATCGTTTCGAATCAAGTTGTAATCACATACGCGATAAACATTAGATTCAATGAATGGTTAACACCATGTTTCTGTTATACAAATTATATCAAGTGCTATATCAGAAAAAATATAATTAAAGTAGTCTATTTTGTCTGAGGTCAAACTACGAGCATTTACATGGCAAATATTAAAACCCCTATGATGGCTACATACAAGCTTTAATATTATTCTCAGGTGTTCATTGCTTGCTTTATATCTTCGTGAGCCATTCATGGATTATGTAGAGATACAATTATGCTATCGAAAGATCAGTAAAATAAAGGAGAGGGAAAGAATAAGAGAAAGAGAAGAAAGGAAGACAAGTTGTTGCTATAACGCGAAAGTAAACTTATTATATCGTAAAATTTTTAAAATTACCTTAAATGGCTGTATTAATGCTTCAAACATACCAAAATGCATTAAGGGAATGGAACAGTATTAAAGCATCCTTACACAATATGTATCTCCATATATAAATGCTACTTTTCTGATACATTCTAATAGATATGTATTCAAAAAAGTAGCATTTACTTATCCAAATTAATATCGTGGAAAAGCCCGTTAGTGCTGAAAATAGTATCGCACAACACGTCCGTTCACTAAAATTTTTGTACAAGACTGAAAATATTACAAAAATTCCAATTCAAATTTATCAAGAAATGTACTTAAAACAACAACAACGTACGTCGCTTGCAGTTCGCTAGAATTTGAATTTATTTGTGGAAATTCATGACTACGCATGCATTTTTCACACTAAATCACTCATATAGCAAGCATTCTTCATAAATGCATACAACCGATTTTACTGGGCTGGTATAAAAGTTTTCCTAGTGACAGAAAGTCAATGACTCGTGCAATACTATTCCAAACCAACTTATCGCAACCGTAGAGCAAATAGGACACATCTTGAAATGTATATACATCACTGATTGTAGAAATTTTCTCGCAGAAGAATATACAAAATTGATTTTTCACAATTTTTTCTACTAAATATTTTTTTCACAGTATCCCCGTAGCGAATGTCATGAATTAGTCACTTAAGTGTCTTGTACGGCCATATCAAGTCTTCAATGACTTTGGGATCCGTTTATATGGAAGTCGTTCATGACTTTTTAACAAATGGTAATTTAGTCGTTGATGGCATCTGCATGACTTTGTCATGCAGTGATCATTGATGATATTCAAGCGACAATGTCCTGCAATGAACTTTTTATAAGTGAGCGCTGAAAGACATTGTCTGTTATAAGTCTTTTATAGGAGTACACCTGCATGACATTGTCACCAGTGTCATTGTCAGCTATATGTCGCAAGAGCGACGATGTCACCAAATCCTCATTAGTGACGATGTCACCAGTGACCATTTTCGCTACTGGGAAGGCATATATGTACTAAATGTGAGCAAACAACATTTTGCTTGCATAGTCTTCTGTTCTCTTTTCACAGCAAGTTCAATTATTTTAGTATCTATTGCAAAATTTTATACAGACAAGGCTAAAAAGTATAAAATAAATTAAAAAAAAAAAACTTTTTAATGTACCACGCTTTTATAAATGGACTAAAATTACAAAATAATGTTTCTCAGTCCCATAGAACTTGTTTTGACAACTTTTCATTTTGAAATTTTAGCAAAAGTCTTATAAACAATTTATGAGATTGAAAATGAAAAGCGTGGGGCGCATGTAATAGGCCTCATTTGAAATTGAAGAGTAATATATGTATGTATGTGGGTGTATTAATAACGACCGCTTAAAATCGATCTCAAATTTGTACTTTCGCTGTAGAAATTTTAGGTCTATGTTATGTATGTAGTTTGAATATTGTCAATTAAATCTAATGCTTTGTATCGCATGCGCTCCACGTTTTTCGTTTTCAATCTCATAAATTGTTTATAATGACTTTAGCTAAAATTTCAAAATCAAAATTTATCAAAACAAATTCTATGGGACTGAGATATATTATTTTACTACAACGCTTTTATCAACTTGCAATGTTGTATGTCCAGACCAGCTTTATACTAGCTGCATTTTTTTGAAGCGAGCGACAAAAGAACGCTCAACTCGGGTAAAATTTCCTTTTAGCTACTTAAGCAACCCTGTTGGTACTGGCAAGAAAATGTGATTAGTTTAACGGTAAAAACGTCAATGTGACGCAGTGCGGCTCAAGTGTGGTGCGCAAAATGGTCACAATGAGGTTTGAAAATAATAGGAAAAAAAGACAAATAAAACTCGGTTTAGTTTAATGGTTTTATTAATTGTCCAAGTATTTTGATTTGATTTAGATATGTTGGGTTACAATGGTTTTACCTGAAAATAATGTGGCCTGGTAGCTGCAGTTCTTTCTCCTTGGTCTCCCGATGTGAAAGTGAAAAAATCTAAAGCCGTGATTTTCGTTCGAACCGCCGGACAAAGAAAAGACGTTGAGGGGAAATTCAACGAAAGATACTTTATCCGGCGGGAAACTTAAACTAACGGCGCGAATATATAATATACGTACATGTGTACAAGTATGCATGCATAAATGTACACATATGTGAATGACACATTAGGGTGGTGCATTATATTTGGAAATATTTAGGCTTAAATATCGGCCGCGTTTCAGCTACCAAGCGCACATGGTTTTTACAAACAAATGTTTTCTATGTCTTGATGTTAATGATCAAATCAGGCAGCAGCGTCGGCATTCATTAAGGTAGAGTTCGTCCTTCCTTTATGGAGTGCTACTGCAGATGTAAATATAAGTGGTAATTAAGGAAATGTACGTGGTTACTTTTTCAAATGCACTTTATTTAAATTCATTATTTTATTTCATTTTAATGTATGATAATTTAGATGTAATGTATGTATGTAAAAAAGGAAAGTTACGCTCTAGAGACCCCGGACAGCACCCAACCAAATATGGTGCTTTGGGCGAGCAGTGGTCCAAATGTTGTGGGCAGTGTCCCAGGTAATAAAATATCTGCGTAAACGTCGGTTCCCAGGATCACGCGTATCGGTGCGGACGCATAAAAGCGAGGGTCCGCTAAGCGTATATGCGCGTACGGCTCAGCCACTGAGGCATCCGCGTTGCTAGATGGGCTTATTCTGCTAAAATTGGCTAGCGCAATAGCGTGAGTTGCTACCCGTTTATTTTGCCCATATTTTCCCCGTAAGCATAACAGACAACCTCTTTCTCCGCTAACGCGCGTCTCGTCCAGGCGCAACTCTCGGGCTAAGTCAAGTGATATTATAGTTCGAGGGGAACATACGTCGACAAGCGCGCGGATCAAATGTAGGCGCCCTCCAGCTTCTACTTTAACGACTGCAGTCGGAGCGATAGCGATCATTGGTTGAAGTGTTGGCGCAGCTATGGTATGGTGACCCAAGATTCCGTTTCGGAACGTACGTCGTTTCGATAGCTGGTGAGGCCGAGTCGCCAGTCTACCTTCCTTTTGTTTGCGTCGAGAGGACTTGCGTCTGGGATTACGCAGGCGGAAAGGCCTGGTTTCCGCTCCACGTAACCGGTTCCGCTCGTGCTGCAATAGGGGTCGAAAAGGCCTAGTTTCCGATCCCCCTTCTGCGAATGCGCGGAGAGGCCGAGTCTCCACTACATCGCCTGAAAGTGCACCTTCTTCGGTATCTGGACGGAAAGGCCGCGTTTCCGTTCCAGAATCGGACGCAAGTAGCGAGATTACACCATCGGAATTTTCTTCTTCCTCCTCCACCTGTTGGGCCCATGACTTTTTCGATGTGCTGGGTTCATCCTCGAAATGTAGTGTCGAGTGGTGCTTTTCGCCACATCGTTTACATCTGCCTTCGCTCACGCAGTCTTTTAATTCGTGATTCATCGCGAGGCAATTAGCGCAGTAGCGTCCTAGTAAGGCCTCACGCAATCTTTCCTCTGGCGACTTCGCACGATACAAAGGGCAAAGCCTGATCGGATGATTTGCGTCGCATAGGCGACATGGTTGCGGATAGCGATGGGCGCGCTGTTCGGCCCTTTTCCTCATTGCGGCAAATTGAGACATCGTTTCCTCTGAAATTGTGTCGATACTTTACGTTGGTTCGAGTTTTACGCTTGATATGAGTTGTTGGGTGGCGAGTGTATCGACATTGGCTAATTACAATAAGGGCATAACTATTTCGCTGATGCATAAGAACAGTTTGGTTTGTGTAAATGGGTTTATCATTCGTACGGCGCAAACTGACTCGTGTAAATTATCTATAAGGCAAGATTTCGACCCACAAAGAAATAAAAAGTGGATCGCACAAATGCCATACATTCCATTGAGCAGGAATGCCTTGGCAAAGTTAAATTTTTATTACATCGAAAATTGTAAATTGTCTTTATGATGTTTGGAAGTGCCAATATTAAGTGAAAAAAAATCATTTCCGTTGATGACTTGATCAACTAATATTCGTAATTAGCAGTTCAACTTCATTGCATGAAGTTGTCGAAAACGTATTACTCTACATTTGGAGAGTTTTTAGCCATTCTCGCAACCCTACAACTAGTCTGCCACCCAAAAAAAAAGGTTTGGATGCCACTGTAGGCGATACTCGTCTAAAAACAGGGTAGCTCATATGCAGCAGAATACATAAGTTTAATTTCAAATTTTATTACAAAATGTCTTATTCCATTTTGAATTTTTCATAAAAATATGTGAAATATTTATAAAAGGTTAGTGCATTGATATGGGCTTATGACAATGCATCTTTTTTTTTTTTTACATTTTTATCCCAACAATAAAATATATTTACGGTACTATATGCTTTGTTGCAGAAACATCTTTACTGACTCAAAATATATTGTCATAATTCAAGTGGTGGTAAAAAATTCAAGAGTTGAAAGCCGCAATAGCAAATTCAATTTCGCTAAGAAGTGTAGTAGATCTACTGCCATTGCAGTAAGTTCCGAACGCTGACCGACATACTACGTTCACTTTGTGGAATGCATGTATGTATGTACATTGGTACAATTGTCAGAAACCATTCAAGGCGAATTTATACAATGGAAAACCGTATACATACATACAAGGTGAAATGATATTTCTTCATTGAAAAAAAAAGAAAAAAAATGTCAGAATGAATTCAATGGAAATCCGTATACATACACGGCGAATTCATATTTCATTTCAATTATATTTTTCTGGCACGCGGCGGTTGTGTAATCTTAAGGTTAGGTGAGTATGCGTAAAATATCGTATTATATAGCTATGTTTGAATGTAATTTTTTCTTAATTACAGGATGTTGCTGGGCATAGTTTCTGCTGGTGTTATTTTTCGGCAAATAACACCAACATCGAGGGACTTAATCGACTTACTTGGAGAAAGCTGCTGAAGGTGAGATGGAAGACGCGGAAATGATTGAATCGATAGAAAATTTGGAAGATACTAAAGGCCATTCTACAAAAGAATGGGTTAGTATGCTTGGACCACGCCAATCGCCAATCGCTTTCAGTCTTTTTTGCGCACCTTTGAAGTGATTAAAAAAAACAGCAAGGCGATCGTATTATAAAGGCAACGTATATATTTTTATATGCATTTTTCTAAAGTAAACATTTCTTCCTGTATATATACCTAACAGTTTGTGCCTTTCCAATATTACTCCTTGAACTTCTGAATAACAATTTCATCATAGTACGGCCGACAATTAAGTCGTACATTTAGGCGTGAGCACAGCAAAAATATACCAGATAATTTGCGATGTATGGAATAGATTTCCTCTGGCGGTGGACAAAGGCGATGTGCGACCATTGTGGGTACTAAATGTGCAATGCGTTCGGTGGTGTTCTGCCGGCCGAAATCAAAATCACCATCAAAGCGAAATATTTCGCCAAGTATCATAACAGCATCCACATGCGCCTCTTCCATTTGCTTGGTTTCATAACCTGTGAGAAAACCCATTTCGCGTGACATGCGCAAGACACCTTCACGATTATTCTCTGCTGCGTGCGTTATTACCTGCCGATAATTACGTATGAATTGCTTTTGATAAAAACGCGTTGAACCAAAATCAATTAACATTAGTCTCTTCGTATCAACATCATAAAGGAAATTCGACCAATTCGGATCGGTTTGCATGCATTCCAACTCGAACAGCTCACGCAAGCACAACTTGAGTATAGACGAAGCAATGTGATGGCGATGCTCATAGCTTAAATCGAAGCACCTGTCCAATGGTACACCTGGCACTAATTCTGTAGTCAGTACGCTGCTTGTGGTCAATTCTTTAATGACCTTCGGTACATAGTACTCGTGATAAGGTGCAATCATCTGCGTAAATTTATCTGTATATTCAGCTTCACGTGTATAATCTACTTCCCAATTTAGTTCACGTTTGGCCACCTTGACCACATTGTCAATAAAGAAGCCGTGCGGAAAGACATCCCATACTTTGAGCATGCCTACTAAATTATCAATATCACTTTCGATGCTTTGCGCAACGCCAGGATATTGAATTTTTATAGCCACTTGCATGCCACCTTTCAATGTAGCGCGATGTACCTGCCCAATGGAAGCCACCGCAAATGGTTTCTCATCGAAACTTTCCAAAAGATTACGCCAATCGGCGCCCAATTGTGTGATCATTACGCGCTCTACTTGCCATCGGGCATATAGTCGGCCGCCTGGCGTACACGTTCAAAAGCTTTAGCCAGCTGCGGTGACACCACCTTAGAATCCTGTATACTTAGTATTTGGCCGATTTTCAATGCTGCACCTTTGTTGATGAACGTGGTATGTACACATACCGGGACCGTATTCGACGCATGTGCGAACAGAATAAATCTTCATTTGTTGTATCCTACACGGATTTGGCAAATAAAGAGCATGTACTTGCGTACTTCCTACCTGAAGCACCTTTTCAAATGCTAGAAATCTTCGACAAGGTGGCTAAAGACATGGTCTTATCAATATTTCCAACATATGAACGTGTTCCAACAGAAATTCATGTTCGTATATCAGAATTGCCTCTTATAGAAGAGTTACGGACTTTCCGGAAACTCCATCTGAACCAGCTGGTGCGTACTTTGGGCGTGGTAACAGCTACCACGGGTGTGTTACCTCAACTTTCAGTCATCAAATACGATTGTGTGAAGTGTGGCTACGTTTTGGGGCCCTTTGTCTAGTCACCGAATACAGAAGTTAAACCTGGCTCCTGTCCTGAGTGTCAAAGTGCCGGCCCTTTTTCGATTAATATGGAACAAACATTATATCGGAATTACTAGAAGATTACCTTACAGGAATCTCCTGGTCGCATTCCCGCTGGTCGGACTCGCGTAGTAAGGACGTAATTCTTTTAGCGGATCTTTGTGACTTATGCAAGCCGGGTGATGAGTTAGAAGTTACTGGTATTTACACAAACAACTCTGATGGTTCGCTAAACACTGAGCAAGGGTTTCCGGTTTTCGCCACCGTCATTATTGCGAATCATATCGTTGTGAAGGACAGCAAACAAGTAGTACAATCGCTTACGGACGAAGACATCGCTACCATTCAGAAGTTGAGTAAAGATCCTCGGATTGCAGAAAGAATAATAGCTTCAATGGCCCCATCCATATATGGCCACGACTATATTAAACGCGCACTTGCGTTGGC